GGTTTTGTTCACTTTTCCCTCTGCTTTACAGTCTGTCTATTCAGCAGTTTGCAGTCTTGGCCCATTCAGAGAATCTCACCAGTTCACCTATGCCATCGCCATCTTGCCCAGAGTGATATTTTTGGGAGTTGAGCGTTTGTGTGAAATGCACACGTCTTCTGTCCGCCTTCCATTCCCTGGAGGCCCGTCATTATCTCCATTTATAGATAAGCTTAGAGAGCTTAAGCAAATTATTCACACAAAGAGTAACCAGTAAAGCTAGGATTCACAGTCATGACTGCTAAGCTATGGTGTCTCCCTTTATTGACCACTGAGTGTGCTGTGGGAAGCAGGACTTCCTTTACCCATCACCACAGCTTGTTAAGATAGAAAGCGAGCCGGGTTTGGTGGCTCAGCCTGTAATCCCGCACCTTTGGGAGGCTGCGGTGAGTGGATTGCCTGAGCCCGCGGGTTCGAGACCCGCCTGGGCAGGCAAGACCTCATCTCTACAATAAATCAAAAAATCAGCTGAGCGTGGTAGCGTGCGCCTGTAATTCCGGCTACTCGGAAGGCTGAGGCGGAAGGATCGCCGGAGCCCGGCAGGTCGAGGCTGCGGTGGCTGGGAGCAGCCACTGCACTCCAGTCTGGGCGACAGAGTGAGACTCCAACTCAAAAAAAAAAAAAGATAGAAAGCCTATAAAGGGAAAACCCAGACCTGGTACTATGTGTTTCTAGCTGGGAGTTTCCAGGCTAGTTTCAGATCTCTGAGGCAGGTGTCACTATGACAATGAAGCACCTGACTCCCGCTGTGTTCTCCTCTCATTGTTTTGAACCCAGACTTTTGGCAAAGGAAGGGGAGAGCGTAGAACAGGGGCTGCTCACCCTGCAGAAGTATTCTGTCTTCTGCCGTGTATAATTGATGAACTTCACAAAAGTGTTCTGGCTGCTGCCAAGAACAGTCTGGAAGTAGACAGGTTTTTCAGGAAGTGCTGGTGTGGCTTTCAGATTGAGCTCGTACTGGTAGGAACCCAAGTCACTGTTGTGCAAAGTTAGTCTCCCGAAGATTTCTCCAGCTTTCAGAGGCTGGAATTCAAATGAGAATGTGCCCTGAAAGAGGAAACAGAGGTTTATTTTCATGCTGAAAGTCTGAACCATCACCTGTTACCTAGTGACCTGTCCAAAGCTTCATAGTAGGTCAGTGGCAGAGATAATGCAAATGCTTACACTTATCTTGAGCCTGGGAACCTCTGTCCAAACCAGCCCACTCTCCCTCCCTGTACCCCTTCTATCTTTCTCTGGTCTAGATATTTCTTTATCTGGATCTCTATGAATCTAAACATAGGTACTGGATCTTCTCTTGAGGAGCGCACTTATGGAGATGGGTACGGGTGTTGCCAGCAGGAAGGCTGGAGGTCAAGCAGCTTTTTCTTTGCTCCTAGTTAATCTCAGAAGAGCTTGCTGGGTTCTGCCTTCTCTTGCTTCCTCTGTTATTACCCAGAGAGCATTGCTTATATAGCAAAACAATGAGAACAATTCAAATGTGTTAGCTGTAGAAGATTGGCTAACTACATGATAGTTTTCTCACTTCAGTGGGATATTGTATAGCCATGAAGAATGATGAGGGCCCAGTGTGGTGGCTCAAGTGTAATTCCAGCACTTTGGGAGGCCAAGGCCAGAGGATTACCTGAGCCTGGGGGTTCAAGACCAGCCTGGGTAACTTGGTGAGACCTCATCTCTACAATAAATCAAAAAAATTAGCCAGGCATGGTGGCTCACATCTGTAGTTCCAGCTACTTGGAAGGCTGAGGTGGAAAGATCGCCTGAGCCCAGCAGGTTGAGGCTGTGGTGGCTGTCAGCATGCCACTGCACTCCAGCCTGGGCAACAGAGTGAGAATCTGACTCAAAAAAAAAAAGAGATAGAGCAATAAGCACTGAAATAAAAGGTGTTTATGATATTACAAGTGGAAGAAAGTAGGTTCTAGAAATGTATGTAAAGTATGAGTTCTTTTTTGTGGAGAAGAATGTGTCTATGAATGTAGAGAAAGAAGACTGGGCCGGGCTCGGTGGCTTAGCCTGTAATCCCAGCACTTTGGGAGGCCGAGGTGAGTGGACTGCCTGAGCCCGCGGGTTTGAGACCCGCCTGGGCAACTTGACAAGACCTCATCTCTACAACAAATCAAAAATTAGCCGGGCATGGTAGCGCGCACCTGTAGTTCCAGCTACTTGGAAGGGTGAGGCGGAAGGATTGCCGGAGCCCAGCAGGTCGAGGCTGCGGTGGCCGGGAGCG